TTCTTTATTAGTGATGATCAATTAAAGAGGATATCAGCCAATATGAACGACATCATGATTGTTCTTACTTAGTAATGAACGAACGATACCCTGATTTTTCTGTCTTAGTCATCATCAATCAAAGAGGATATCAGCAAATATAAACGATATCATGATTGTTCTTTATTAGTCATGATCAATCAGAGAGGATATCAGCCAATATGAACGACATCATGATTGTTCTTACTTAGTAATGAACGAACGATACCATGATTTTTCTGTCTTAGTCATCATCAATCAAAGAGGATATCAGCAAATATAAACGATATCATGAAAGTTCTTTCTTAGTAGTGATCAATCAAAGAGGATACGAGCAAATACGAACGATATCATGATTGTTCTTTATTGGTCATGATCAATCAAAGAGGATACGAGCAAAAACGAACGATATCGTGATTGTTCTTTCTTAGTAATGATCAATCAAAGAGGATATCAGCAACTATGAACGATATCGTGATTGTTCTTTTTTAGTAATGATCAATCAAAGAGGATACGAGCAAATACGAACGATATCGTGATTGTTCTTTCTTAGTAATGAACGAACGATATCATGAAAGTTCTTTCTTAGTAGTGATCAATCAAAGAGGATATCAGCAACTATGAACGATATCGTGATTGTTCTTTCTTAGTAATGATCAATCAAAGAGGATACGAGCAAATACGAACGATATCGTGATTGTTCTTTCTTAGTAATGAACGAACGATATCATGAAAGTTCTTTCTTAGTAGTGATCAATCAAAGAGGATACGAGCAAATACGAACGATATCATGATTGTTCTTTATTGGTCATGATCAATCAAAGAGGATATCAGCCAATATGAATGATATCACGATTGTTCTTTATTAGTCATGATCAATCAAAGAGGATACGAGCAAAAACGAACGATATCGTGATTGTTCTTTCTTAGTAATGATCAATCAAAGAGGATATCAGCAACTATGAACGATATCGTGATTGTTCTTTTTTAGTAATGATCAATCAAAGAGGATACGAGCAAATACGAACGATATCGTGATTGTTCTTTCTTAGTAATGAACAAACGATATCATGAAAGTTCTTTCTTAGTAGTGATCAATCAAAGAGGATATCAGCAACTATGAACGATATCGTGATTGTTCTTTCTTAGTAATGATCAATCAAAGAGGATACGAGCAAATACGAACGATATCGTGATTGTTCTTTCTTAGTAATGAACGAACGATATCATGAAAGTTCTTTCTTAGTAGTGATCAATCAAAGAGGATACGAGCAAATACGAACGATATCATGATTGTTCTTTATTGGTCATGATCAATCAAAGAGGATATCAGCCAATATGAATGATATCACGATTGTTCTTTATTGGTCATGATCAATCAAAGAGGATATCAGCAAATATGAACGATATCATGATTGTTCTTTATTAGTGATGATCAATTAAAGAGGATATCAGCCAATATGAACGACATCATGATTGTTCTTACTTAGTAATGAACGAACGATACCATGATTTTTCTGTCTTAGTCATCATCAATCAAAGAGGATATCAGCAAATATAAACGATATCATGATTGTTCTTTATTAGTCATGATCAATCAGAGAGGATATCAGCCAATATGAACGACATCATGATTGTTCTTACTTAGTAATGAACGAACGATACCATGATTTTTCTGTCTTAGTCATCATCAATCAAAGAGAATACGAGCAAATACGAACGATATCGTGATTGTTCTTTCTTAGTAATGAACGAACGATATCATGAAAGTTCTTTCTTAGTAGTGGTCAATCAAAGAGGATACGAGCAAATACGAACGATATCGTGATTGTTCTTTCTTAGTAATGATCAATCAAAGAGGATACGAGCAAATACGAACGATATCGTGATTGTTCTTTCTTAGTAATGATCAATCAAAGAGGATACGAGCAAATACGAACGATATCGTGATTGTTCTTTCTTAGTAATGATCAATCAAAGAGGATACGAGCAAATACGAACGATATCGTGATTGTTCTTTCTTAGTAATGATCAATCAAAGAGGATACGAGCAAAGACGAAAAAAGGATTAATCGTAGTTGCCCTGAACAATCAAAAGAAAAGATACCAGCCCTTAGAAAAGAAATCATTATTTATCGTCATGATGATCCTAAGGCCAACCATATAGGATATCAGCCTATACAAACAAACCATGACTGTTCGTGTTCACATTATGACATTGATAAAGTTCCAATATATAAAAAACTACTTCGGATTGAACAAGCTTTGTTTAACCTGTACTTTCTCTGGTTCACCCTGACCTAGCTATAGTTTGTTTGCCTAACTTTCTACTACACTAAACAATCTCCATTGACAATCCCATAAACCATGTCTCTAAAAGAGAATAAGGCTCTATTCAAAAGGGACGATTCTCATGACTTCTGACCTTTACTAAGAGTAAAGCAAATACAATTTACGTCATCATGCCAGCGTAAGTCAGCTACTGTTATCAGGTTTTTACGGACGCCAGGTCACTTAGAGTGAAAGATTACAAATAAAAGGAAATTTCATCCAGTATACAGCGACAGAAATAACATGGTTTGACTTGGAACACCTTAGTGATATTTAAAGGGGTATGATACTGAAGAACGTTGACTGAAAATAGCGAAAATGACGTTCTCGGGATACATGGTAAGAAGGGTTGCGGAGCAGGGAGAGAGAAGGCAGAGGGACAGAAAGGCAGATCGGAAAAAATGAGAGGGACAAAAAGGCAGATAAGTAAAATAGGAGAGGCACAGAAAGGTAGATAAACGGATAGGCTGTGGTTTAGAAAGGCAAAATGGGTAAAAAGCAAAAAAGCAGAGGGGCAGAAAGGCAGATGGGCAAAAGGGAGAGGGACAGAAAGACAGATATGTAAAATGAAAGAGGGACAGGAAGGCAGATGGACGGATAGGCTGAGGTTTAGAAGGCAAAAAGGGGTAAAAAACAGAAAGACAGAGGGACAGAGAGCCAGTAGTCTGAGTGTATCAGGAAAGGAGATCCAGATGTTCTTGAAATTTGTTGAAATAATAATGAAACTGACTGCCTCAATAACTTCTGAAACAAACAACCCCTCAACCAAATAAGAACTGTTTCTTTAAATTCTGCTAGAAAAGACTCCTCTTTCATTGAAGGAACTTGTGTTTAGTTCTGTTGTGTAAGCGGGCTTTCATGTGAAAACGGCTACTATTCTATAAACTTTTGCTTACAGAAATTAAGGTCACAACCTTTACACACAAATTGAGTTTTTAATTACTGCATTGAGCTACCCAGCTGACCCTTATAATAAACTGCAAAATGATCATCTACATAGTTAATTGGAAACAAAGTAGCAGGCCAGAAAACATGAATGAACAAATACACAATGAAACACTGAAAACAACAAACGATTCTTCTTATTAAGATATTATGCCAGGAACCAAAAAGCAGGCCCTCCTTTATCCAGCCTCAGTCTTTCACAAGAAGCGTTCTCTATTGTTGTTTCCAATGGGATTTATTACTATAATCTTGAATATCGCTATATCCTAGAACTCTCGAATCCTGGAATGACGTCATAGAGAATCTCCCTGGCCCCTTATTCATTCGTGAATAAAGAGAGGTCTGACCGTGGATAAATAGAAACTTGACGGTACTATTTATCTCATTGGCATACAGATCTTGTAAAGTAATCATGATACAGTTCTCATGATGCAAATGGACAATTCTGATTGTATGATGGTAGTTCTCAAAACAAATAGACCCCGATATTTGTAAGACATTTACCTTTGACAAAGCCTTATTCATTTTTTAGGGCAGACATGGTTAAAAATGTTCCAGTTCTTCTAGTCTACAAGCCATATAGTACGTTGGCATAGTGCTTTTTGAAATAGCAAATTATTAATTCAAAAAATGAAAGCTTATTCACTATCGTATGGTCAGGTCTTAATAGTGATTGTATCTAGACTTACAAAGAAGACTTCAGATACAAATATATTATCAAGCATGAAGAGCAGTATTTCTTGATTTTCTCTACGCGCTTTTTATCAACGATGAATAGAATATAAATGGTACTCCTTGAGGTGTCTAACTCAAACGTAAGGTGATTCCTGTTAACGCCATGCCTTGACAAGAAAATTTGTGACAAGGGTAGTATGATATGTAACCCAAAATGCTTCAAAGAGTTGTCGATCATTAAGATCATCATTCAACGCAATTAACGAAGATCGGAATATCCCAATATTTTCCAGCATGATATAGAAGACGACCGGCATCGGAGAGAGATGGTAACGATTGCGAACCCCACAAGGAGAATTTTACCTACGTGTCTCTGTTTTGAGGCTGCTAGCTCTTAATTTGAGCTGACAAAAGGGAACAGCTATTTTGACCACAGAAAGTTTCTGGATGTAAATTGTTTTGTTATTCTGACCAAGAAGTGTACAGATTTCATTACATAAGAATCTGCACAATGAAATTCATTTCTTGGTCCTGTCATTTATGATTTCAAAAAGTTGAACTGACTTCATGATGATCAAATGAAAAATAAACCGAAACTTAAAACATGAATAAAACGCAAGTTGAAAGAAATTTTGCTTAAGGCTTTGTGTACCAAGATTTTGAAGATTGAGAAGAAAATTTACGAATTGGCTGAAATTCGGTACATACTAATAAATAATAACAAATGTGGAAGAGAAACAACAAGAATCATTTATTGGCAAAACTGACAGTATAAATCTGCGATCTCGCAATTGAGCCGCGATCATTCAATAATGCAAGCGGACTACCTGGCTATTTCAAACCATTTTACTTTGAGAGTAAGTTTTGGGGGCAGTAATTGAGATACACGTAGAAATGATTGTCTGTGAACAGAAATGACTCTGCGTTTCGCAAGCAATTATTTCTATTCTCACTCTATGTGAACTGTCTATCAACGTACAAACAATCGTTAATGGATCTAATGAGAATTACAAAAATATTGCTTGACTTACCAGGAAATTATCGAAAACTGCAACGTCAAATGCTTTATCGTAGGCCTTGGAATAGACCAGCTGTAGAAAACAAAAAATACTTTAAAACATCTGACAGTGTGAATCGGCTGTCATTTACAAAGAACTGACTTGCCAAAGAAACCTGGCTTAAATTTTGACACTGAGTCGGGAAACAAGATGTTCCAAGTTTTGTTGCCATTTTCGCCACTATTAACTAAAATAAGATTAAGCATTGTTTTCAAGGAACATTTTAGCGCTTTTAAAAATAGATAATGGATGCGGTCCACGAAACTATTTGATTAAGGAAACATGATTTTGACGACTTGGAACAATCGCGTTAACGCTTTTATGTATGATGTCATCGTTAATGGATGTCATGGGAACTATCGGGTGGCCTAAAAACATGGGAGAGCTTTGGGTAACCAGAATTATCACGGGTGTTCCAAAAAGGCTTGCAAAATGTGCCAGTAAACAACAAATGCTCAAATGATGAACCGCCTGTATAATGAATGAAGCCAGCTGATTTCTTTTCTATACACTCTCTTTTTATAAGAACAAGTAAATTTCAGTTCAGGCTGACTGTTCTTTAATTATTTGAAAATCTGAGGCTGGAGTGTTCTCAATTTGTTCCAAAACTAATAGGGTGTAAGCAGTGCGGAGGTTTCCAGGCCTCATTTGCCAACAAAGTGAGTGATATAACCTACATTTGCCGACAAGTTTGTATATTCACCGAAAAAGCACCCACACACGGCTAAAAATCCTCATTTTTGAGACAAAAGCTTGTCTAAAATTGCTTTTACAGTGGCTGAGCCTCAGTTTGTTCTTAATTTGTTCTTAACTATTGTTCTTATCAATTTTGAAACTCGTGTTCTTAAGAAATTGTTCTTATACAAAAGGTCTTATCGAAGAGTTTTGCACCATTTTCCAGTATTTTAAAAGCAAGAATATCGAAATGAAAAGATATTTTAATCATTGCATTGGAATTTAATTTGCAGCATTTTGGCACAATAGCTATTGTATGAATTTTATGAATAAAACTGATTGGGTGCAAAATAGCTAGCTTTAGATGAAAACACATCAAGCATCTGAGAGACTTTAAGAATTAATATCAGAAAGGCAAATTTGGCGTCTTCCTTGTAGCATAAATCGAGGAAACAAAAAAACACTCTTTTAGGCTATATTTAAGCACGTGACAGGACTATGATTGGTTTAGATTACAGCTCGATTGCCAGTTAGTACTTCTTCTAGCGGACAGCATTAACAAACATTTCCGAACAAATGCAAAACGATTTCTAATGTCCTGCAGAAAAACCTTGGACAGTGGACATCTCTGAAATTAGGACAAATTATTTAGGTTCCCTGTTATCTGTGTTGGGAATCTACTAATGGATTTAAGGTTTTTTCGTAAAAGGACCAATAGACACCATTCTATACATTATAAATATATATCTAAATATTAAAGGTTTTCACAAAGTTCACTTACTAAAGTTGCTAAAGTTGTTCAAAAATGAATAAAAAGCAAAATCGGGAATTAGAGGCACTGCAGAAATAAGCTGTCACTTCAAAAGACAGAAGCTAAAACTGTTATTTTCACGAAACCGAAGCATAATAACAACTAGTCCAAAATGGCAGATACTTTTCGATCAAAAGCTTTAGATCGCTACCCATTTTTTGGTGAGTCAAAGTACTTTTTTGGTGTCACTAAACAGTGAAATGCTTCTACATAGATGGAAAAGCAATATGTATAAACAAAATGCTTCAAAATTTCGTAACAGCGCAATATCCTAACATGAGGGGATCTTTAGAAATTCATCTAATACCAATAAATCATAATAAAATATAAACGAAGTATTGACGTCAACGAAAATCAAAAGCTGATCGTCCTCTGCAATGATTCATTTGCGACTCAATTAAGCCAACGCCGTGGTTATTGTTCCGGCACCGGAACTTTTACATTTCAGCTATTCATCCGGAATGCATGCGCATTAACTACTTGCGCACGAAAACACTCTGACGCCTGCGCACATCAAATCACATTTCAAGCTTAGTTAGAGTTACTATCAAAATGCTGAGAGAAACTAAAAACATTTTTCGCCAATTGCTTTTGAAGTGAACAAAGTCACTACATAGTTACGTAGGCCCAGTTTAAACTGTTACAATTCTTCGTTCTAAACTGTTACACACCAAACTTGCCTTGCTAAAATTATTCGTTCTGAGTTCTCCATAAGGTCAAAGACAGCATATCAGAACGTCTCTGTGAAGGAGCAGACATGAGAGGGAAGCTCCTTCAGAGAGCGTTCTAAAATGCAGCCCTAGTCTTCGGGAGATTTCAAAACGAAGACTTTTAGCAAATCGAAACCAAAATCGCAATTTGAACGCACAAATACATAGATTTAACACCAAAAGTGGATCATTTCGAACGCCAGCAATTAAAGGTTTTACTGTGTCTTTTTAAAAGCGCTATGAAAACAAACATCGTTTTCGAACCATTTTGATTTAAATACTGATTGCGTTTGAACAGAGATTGCATTTCGAAAAAGAAAAGAGCTGCCAAATGTAGATATTTCAATCTACTGCAAGAATTTGGAGGTCTTTTGAGTTTCAGGGAAATTTATGAAAAAAATCCTGAAATGTAGGAACTAAATCTAAGAAAATGCAGGTGGACCGTGCGTAAGTCATAATAGACGATGTGGAAAGCCACCTAAAATATTTCTAAAATAGAGTTCAAGTTGGACCTTAGTAGACATTCTTAACTTCAAAAAACTCAGACATATTTTTATCAACTTTAAACATTTGATTTAGCAACTTTTAGAATCTTGATCTAACACTGAAAAACATGACATAAACAATACACCGCCATAATCCTTAGGTGTAAAGGTAAAATGTTTTTTCTTCAAAATATACATAGCAGTTGAAGTTTGAGTTGCGGCGTAGGTTGAACGAAGGTAGCAATTTTAAATATGGAAGATGGAAATGTTATATTGTGCGTATGGGGCAATATAGAACAATGTGACCATATGGCCGTTTATACATGGATACGTTTTAAAAGAAATTCATTTTTATCTAAATGAGAAGGAATTAAAAGTTTGTAACTAAGCGGAAAAGTTGCACTTTTCAAAGGATTCGACTCTGGAAGGTATTTTCAAATAGTAGTGTCTTCAGCCACAGATTTTCCTTCCTCGAGAAGATGGGAGGTGAAAATGTATTGAAAACGCATTTTTGTAAACAGAGTCTTGGCGTATGAGCAACCACAGAAAGCCGTAAATGTGACAGATACTGAGAGCCCTACACATTGGTCACTTCACTGGTCGTTCGCACCTGTACTTTGCAGCGTCAACTGCCTTTCGGGTCAAGAAAACAGCTTATATGCAGATTGAAGTTGCTCATAAAGATTTGTAAATCGCCTGGAGGTCATTCTTGCTAAGTAATTAAGAAGGCTGGCAGCATGAAGCAGTGTACACACAACGCAAACCGGACAAATAGGCTGAAAGACTTGACAACCATGCCACAGATGTTTTGTGATCTGAGAGATTCTTGGTATACCAATATGACAATTTTTGTAAAAAGCAGGAAAGCAACTACTTCAAGATATGAACCATTACGATTACAAATGCACTTTGATGACACTTTGAGCTTTAGTTGCGCTTAAAAAGATCTCCAGGGCAGGTTGACATAATCATTGAATCATACTTCAGAATTCATGTCAATAAGTCCTTATTTTCTGAAGTTTCAATTTTAACTTTTTGCGAAAATTCGGTCAAGTGTACCTCTATGGTACTAGGTTAAACTATTTTAAGAAAACTTACCTGTTCAGGCACGATTTAGTAGTCGTAACTGGTACATTCAGATTTTGTTGGAAAACGGACGTGCGAATGCGACAAGTTGGAAGAAAACTAGCCTTATAGAAGAACTATAAGCACGAGCATGCACAATGACTGACGGTAAATCACAAATATAGCATGCCTTGTTTCAAAGCAAAACTATTCACCGCTTGGATAAAGCCTGATTCAAACAGCTTATTATTCATGTTCCGTATTAAATGGGCTATTTGTTTCGAATGAAATAGAAAATATGGCAGTTGATTCAAACGCTGTATTTAATTCAAACCGTTTTTACTTGATTGTTATTGTTTTACTCTCAACATTCTGGTAATGAAGCATTTTGATTAAGACCGACACCAAGATGACGAAAATGGACAAATTGAAATTAGAACTGCTAAAATGTTTAACGACCGGAATTGGAGAAGACGAAGAACTTCAGCTTTACTACAAAACTTGCCGCAAAAAGGAGATGATTTTAAAGTTGGTAATCAAAAGATTTAAAGACGCCTGCATCACAAGGTCATATGGCAAGCTTCAACGGAACGAAGGCTGCTGCATCAGCAATTGTGTTGTGCCAATCCCTCTCGAAAACAATAGACTGAAATATTTTAACAACTTGAATGATTTATGCATTTAGTTCAGCACAAGAAAAATACAGCGTCTGAATTAGAACCTTTCTCATGTCGAAAAATGTAGCAGCCCATGTCGAACTAAATAGTGGTGTCGAATAAAATGAACCAAAAGTGCTGTACCAAGTTGATTCAGACACCGTATTTATCATGCACTAAATTGAGTCTATCTAATACGGCACATAAATAATACGCCGTCTGAACAAGGCCTAAGAGAACAGTTTAATGGGGACTTTGGTACCAATTGATCGTGTTGAAATGTTTCTTGCTTCATCAACAAAACGAAAAATCTTCAGCCTTTTGCAAAAAGTAATAAAGAGATTCTGAGATAAAAAATAAAGCCCAAAAATCAAAGTATAAGAAGTAATGCAAGCATCGGAAAAAGTGTTTAGTTAGAAGAACGATTTAGAGAGAATACAAACGACCTAAGTTTGGAAAAGAGACAGTTAGTAGAAAGATAAATTGTTTCTAATTACTAAGTCTTCCGACATATGAATCAAGTCGGTCGCGAGTTACCAAACAAATGCTTTAAGACTAAAGTTCCAAAAAGTAGTGGCTGTTAAGTATGTAAGAGAAAATAGGGCTCATGGCAAACCAGGAATCAATGTAGGAAGTACAGAAAGATTTTATCGCACAGAGACGATTAGATGTAGTAAACCAAAAATCTAGGCCATACTTGTAAATAAGATTTGAAACTAGCCAAAACTAGCATAAGAATAGCTAAAAGCAGCTAAAAACAGCGTTTGGAGATATTAGGTAGAGAAGAAACTTTGCGAGTTTAAAAATAAAAGTACAGATGTGAATTTGATGAAGTGAAACTTGGAGCTGAAACTTAGAACCGCCCTGTCCTATACACCTAAGCTTTTATCCCTGTCTATATCTATAGTCGCCTGATAATCGTATGAAGAGTGAGACTAGGGGTGGTAGCTAGAATCGTCCTGTTCTATAAAGAAAAATGTTAAATTTATTTCTACAGCTACCTGACGATTGCATTCAAAACGTTTAACTCAAGTTTGCAACTTATAACCACCCTTTTTCTATGAGAGGGTAAATGTAAGATAACTATTAGCATGCAAGCAAGCGATATGTACTAAAACATTTCCCAGAGAGTGGACACAACGAAGGACGATACCAAAAATGAAAGCAAGTAGTGTTGCATAGCTTAGAGGTTTTATAAAAAGGATCTTCGATTAACATAAATGGCAGGGTAAAGAAAAAGAAAAGAGACTAGAAAAAACATGGAAACATCAGGAACTAGAAAGATTCAAAAGTTTGCAGATCAGTGAACAAAAATTTCGTATGATGAACAAAAATCTTATTTTTCAGTGAAAAATTAGTTAGATTCAGTTTACATCAAGAGAGGATTAGCTTTAATCCCTGTAGACAACTGATGACAGTACAAAAAACTGTCTTCCGGCCGATACCAAGTGGTTTTGATATGGAAAATGAATCCAGGAAATTATAGTATTTATCTTTTAAGACGCCATGCTTTAAAATCATGGCACTTTTCATGTTTTCCTGTGGATTCTTTATAAAATTCAAAGGTATTGTGTTTCGCTCACAGATGCCTTCATAGCTGCATCGCCGCTAATGAACGCCGGATCTTGAAAAGCGGCGTTCATTAGAAAACACACCAAACAAGAAAAAAAGGAATTGTTTATACGCTTACTAATCGAAAGCCATGAAAATTTTTATCTCATAGAGACGAGGACTCTGACGGAGACAGGGATATTGCCATTCATTGACTTGACTTGACATTCTTTTTATCTTTTTTCATCGCATTTTTCTTGTCATTTTCCATTTGACAAACTTTTCATTTTGTATTGAACGCCGCCCTCTGATGAACGCCACCCTCTATTAAACGCTGCATTCAAAGGATTTTTAGAGGAAATACGGTATCGACACAAATTCTTTGAATAGATGAGAAACGAAAGTTGCATAAGATCACCTTTGATTCTATACTTCAAATTTCAAGTTTCATGTTAACAATTTTATAGTTATACATTCCAAATAACAGCTAATAAACCGAAAAGGGGTTTTGGACATTGCATTGATTTTATCACTCAATGGTTGAGACAACTATATCATACCAGCAGAGGTAACCAAACACTTGAATGCTAACGTGAATTTTCGCGTTTGGTAGCTTCTAAGGAAAAAATTCTCATCAACATTAGAGAAAGAACTTTAGAGTAGAGTAATGGATTGGTCTAGTAGCATGCATGGCTACGATAGTATACCGAATACAGAGTCTGCTTGGAAATCAACCTGATCTTTGGTGTTGCGTGGTACACATAAATCTATTGCTAGGGCAATTACTTAGCAGAAGAAAATATTGATAAGGAGCTTACCAAATAATCGTTCAGTGTAGTTTGAAGCTTGCGAAGATCGATTCTTGCAAAGACTGCTTGTAGCTCTTCACTGAAAGGTAGAAACACTGTATTAGATCCACCACCCTCTTGACTGTGATAAAAGTTAGACACCAAACCTGCTTGGCCACTGCAAATTCTTTACGACGAAGTACCAGCTACCTAAGGCGTTGTCTTATATAGACGACTAACGAGACGCAGAGATAAGCTATAGTTGCGGCTTCGTTAATGACCTGGCTGACAAATTGCTTGATCTCCATTCGCAGAGCTCTTATCTCTACAAGACGAATTCTCCACTATTAAAAGGAGTATAGGGTATGTGATTATGTTTCCAAAACGTTAGGTTATAAAGATAATAGCTTTTTAAATGCAAGATTCGGGCAAAAAGCTTATTTGATTTGGATTTGAGACGGAATGAGACGGAGATTAAGGCGACAGATGAGCATCCTTATCTATCTAAGAAATTTCCGTCTTTCATTCCCCCCGTTACAGCTAATGATCCAGCCAACAAAAAGATATCATACTCTGTGGAATTTGAAGTACCGATCTTGATCACTGGCGTTAAATTGGGATCTACCAATCAATCTATGAGATTGACATACGCTTCTCTTTGATCGTTCCGAAGGCACTTGGGAATGGGAACAGTGGGAATGAAAACAAGTATTGTTGAAAGAAAGGACAGCTAGGCCCAGGCTAGTGATCCAGTCGTGTAGTGTGAGATAAGCTAGGGTAATGGACAGTGCAAGAATATCTATAGCACGCAATGCATAATCCTAAACGCCAGAAAAACCTATTTGGGGTGATAAGTAAAAAGAGAAAGACATTCAAAATAGGGTAATTCTTGGTTCAAGAGTCTATTCTAAACTACACTTGATCAACCTGCTCTTGAAAATCCATACGATGAAGGGAAATCTGTTTGAAAATAACAGCCTAAATAATATATTCTATGGCAAAGTTGTCTCTTCTAACGCCTACATGCACAACATTAACAGAAATAATAAGTTCCTAGAGACTTTTAGGTTTTCAATAACATGCCGAAATTGCTGAAACACCTACACGGAATCTTCATAATTTTAAGAGTTGTATCCTCCCAACCTCCCCCCAAATACAATGTTGCTTAATATCGATATTGCATGATTGTCGGTGAATATCTAATAAGGACTGGACGCATAACCATTTCTTATGAAGCGAACAGGGAAGGAGGGAGGGGGGAGAAGGAAAGGCAGGGAATTTTGCAACGTGATTTATAACTTGGGAAGAAAATGAAATGCTGGGTTTGTCAACTTTTTAGCGTGACTATTGTGTTGTTTCAACAGTACTTAACGAAGATAGTAGCTTTACAGGCAACATTGTTTTGGTGGAGATAGATATCGGTCGTTTCTGCTGGAAGCTGATAACTTTATGAAAATTATACTTAAGCAACAAGAGTTCCAAAGGCGTTCCAAGCGCGTTCTAAAGACAGTATACAGGCATTCTGACTAGGTTCTGAAGACGTTCTTAAGGCGTTCCAAGCGCGTTCTAAAGACAGTATACAGGAATTCTGACTAGGTTTTGAAGACGTTCTTAAGGCGTTCCAAGCGCGTTCTGAAGACAGTATACAGGCAATCTGACTAGGTTCTGGAGACGTTCTTAAGGCGTTCCAGAGGCGTTCTACCGGCATTACAGACGCGTTAGCATTTTCATGTAAAGCTTTTCACGAATCTAGTTGCATCGTGTAGATGATGAAAAGATTTCCAGGAGATAAAAAGATCTTCTTAGATATTATTATACTTGAAGGGTAAAAACAGGAATAGTTTTTGGCACTTTTGACACGTCTCACGGGGCCAGAGATATAAACCTGGTCTCATGTAAGTATCTTGTTAGGACAGCAACACCCCATCTACGAGAAATAGGTTGGGGCCTGAGAATTGGTAAGGTTAGAGTAGGCATTTAGGAGGAAGGGTAAAAACAGGAATAGTTTTTGGCGCTTTTGATACGTATCATGGGGCCAGAGATATAAACCTGGTCTCATGTAAGTATCTTGTTAGGACAGCAACACCCCATCTACGAGAAATAGGTTGGGGCCTGAGAATTGGTAAGGTTAGAGTAGGCATTTAGGAGGAAGGGTAAAAACAGGAATAGTTTTTGGCGCTTTTGATACGTCTCACGGGACCAGAGATATAAACCTGGTCTCGTGTAAGTATCTTGTTAGGAAAGCAACACCCCATCTACGAGAAATAGGTTGGGGCTTGAGAATTGGTAAGGTTAGAGTAGGCATTAAGGAGGAAGGGTAAAAAAAGGAATAGTTTTTGGCGCTTTTGATACGTCTCACGGGGCCAGAGATATAAACCTGGTCTCATGTAAGTATCTTGTTAGGACAGCAACACCCCATCTACGAGAAATAGGTTGGGGCTTGAGAATTGGTAAGGTTAGAGTAGGCATTAAGGAGGAAGGGTAAAAAAAGGAATAGTTTTTGGCGCTTTTGATACGTCTCACGGGGCCAGAGATATAAACCTGGTCTCATGTAAGTATCTTGTTAGGACAGCAACACCCCATCTACGAGAAATAGGTTGGGGCCTGAGAATTGGTAAGGTTAGAGTAGGCATTAAGGAGGAAGAGTAAAAACGGGAATAGTTTGTGGCGCTTTTGATACGTCTCACGGGGCCAGAGGCTTAAAAGTTCACAAACCTGGTCTCATGTAAGTATCTTGTTAGGACAGCAACGCCCCTTCTACGAGAAATAGGTTGGGGCCTGAAACTTGGTAAGGTTAGAGTAGGCTTTAAGGAGGAAGAGTAAAAACGGGAATAGTTTGTGGCGCTTTTGATACGTCTCACGGGGCCAGAGGCTTAAAAGTTCACAAACCTGGTCTCATGTAAGTATCTTGTTAGGACAGCAACGCCCCTTCTACGAGAAATAGGTTGGGGCCTGAGAATTGGTAAGGTTAGAGTAGGCATTAAGGAGGAAGAGTAAAAACGGGAATAGTTTGTGGCGCTTTTGATACGTCTCACGGGGCCAGAGGCTTAAAAGTTCACAAACCTGGTCTCATGTAAGTATCTTGTTAGGACAGCAACGCCCCTTCTACGAGAAATAGGTTGGGGCCTGAAACTTGGTAAGGTTAGATTAGTCATTAAGGCAACTTCAGTGAACAATGAATTTTTTTTTCTACTGCAAATAGTGAATAAACATGGCTTGATATGTACTGTGGCTGGAGATATTGTGAAAAATGACTTGTAGGAATGAAATCCTGTGGTTTCACAAACTGCTAGCTTATGTCTACAGGTTGCATTGTAAGGGATGCGAATTATAGAAAATCCAATGTTGATGTGATCTTGCTGTTATCTCTACTAGTGGTTTAACATATTAACCGAAGATTGGCAATATCGAGGATTCCAAACTCAAAAACAAGTTTAAGAACCATATGGAAAGCAGGTTTTCAAACCAGAAAGGAAAATCTTGGTACAAATTCACAACAAAATAAAAACAAAATGGAACATGAGAAGAAGAGTGTGTCGATGACCTACGTGGTTGCTGGTGAATTTTGGATATGTGCATTCTTTTTATAAGAACAATTTTAGAACAACACAAGCCTCAAAACATTTCTAAAGTAAAGGACAAATTAAGAGAAAGTTGAGGCTGAGCTAATGTAAAATGTAATTTTGAACCATGTTTTCGCTCAAAGACCTGAATTCTTTTGCGATTCAGGAGTGTCTTTCTAGAACTTTCAAACTTGTCGTCAAATAAAGGATGTTTTATAGACTTTGTTGGAAAAGGAGGCCTGAAACCCGCCCCCCCCCCCCATCCCACCTAATAATTTAAGAACAAATTAAAAAAATTCAGCCTTAGACAGAAAAATAAACAACAGCAAGCCTGAACTTAAATTTACTGGTTCTTATAAAAAAAAGGGTCTTAGTTGGAAATGACCAAAATATGGGAACATCCTGATGGAAAGGCTGACTCGCTTTGTTTTCAATCAACAGATGCTTTCTGGAAAAAGTTCCAGGAAGTAAAAAAGAAGAGAAAATGACAAAGCAAAAGACGTAAAAATGAAAGCAAATGGGGACAGTGACGATTAAGGTGTGTTGCTTTGGTTGGTACAATTGCTAAGAGAAAAGAGTACAAGTTTATTGAAAAAATTACTGTTCACTGCCAGTACGGCGTTGTTTGTTTGGAGGTTTTGAAATAGGGAAGTTCTGAGTACTTGAAAATGAAAAAAGAAGGATGGAGAACGTAAGAAATATTTAGAGAGACAGCAGCCCCAACAGTTCACAAACCACAGACATAACCAGTATAAATCAACAAATAGAGCTTGAGACAAACGCAATGTACCAAATTTGGGAATGATAGGCGTCTCGTGTGATTAACTCTTCTATCAAGGAAGGCTATCGCAAGACAGCCAATTAAAATGCAGAAACTTCGCAAACAAGCGTAATGTATCTTTTCGTGTTTCAAACCCTGCTTATCAGCTTGGCTAACACTGAAAAACGAGGCTGAATAAATAGGATGATCATATTTTACTTCAGTTAGTAGATAAGCTAAGAAGCCTGACAGACTAAAGGCACGCGATTTAAAGTAAAATTCTGATAGAGTCATTAATCCTTAACAGGACTTCATCCCATTGAGCGATCATTATCTAGCAAAGCTGAAAAAGCACTTTTTATATTCTTGAGCAAGCTAAAGGGGATTGCATATAATATTACGCTACAAGAAAAGAATTAAGTGACTCTTTTTCTTATCGCTATAAGGACATATTAGCAATTAAAATGATTTTACCAGAGTAAGCGGGTCCTTTTCTCCAAATATAAGAGTTATTCTAAGTACCCTTTAAATGGTTGATTACATCAGTGTCGAGATTCGTCACAGAAGATACGCAGCTTAAAGCGAGACACACAAATTTGCAAATTATACAGAAAGTGATCACTTTTAAAGTAATGGAGGATATGTAAGTCCTTTTCTTTGAGGGCTTACAAAAGAAGCCTTATCTGAAAGCAAAAGATTTGACAACATGTCAAAGTCATGTCACTAGTTTAAAGTTTGTACCGGGACATAATAACTCAGCAGTCATTTATGACAGAAAGCCCGTATACGAAAAGTGGATTGCTACTTTTTGAGGAAAATCCTAATTAATTGACTACGTTTAAGGACGTCAAAAAATATTTAATTGTATAAAATATTGAAATTAATATTTCTTTTAACTTTGTTGTTATTAATGATTTTGGTTAATTTAAGTGTTGATTTATTACTGATGTGTTAGTTTTCACAGCAAGTGACATTTTTTGTTTACTTTTATTTGAATGAACTGGGCAATAATGGCAAACTCTACTATCGCATAAAAATCAAGGGAAATATTTGAAGTCGCAATATTAAAAATACAGAACTATATGATATCTAGAAGCATATGATAATGACCAATATCAATCAAGGAAAATATTTGTAGTTGCGATACTGAGAATACAGAAGCATATGATACCAAAAAGACTATGATACAGAGATATATCAATAAAGGAAAATATTTAAAGTCGCGATACCAAGAATGCAGAAGCATATGATATCTAGAAGCATATGATACAGACACATCTCAATCAACGAAGATATTTGTAGTTGCGATACTGAGAATACAGAAGCATATGATACCAAAAAGACTATGATACAGAGATATATCAATAAAGGAAGATATTTGTAGTCGCGATACCGGGAATGCAGAAGCATATGATACCAAGAAGCATATGATAAAGACACATCTCAATCAAGGAAGATATTTGAAGCCGCGATACTGAGAATAAAGAAGCATATGATACCAAAAAGCCTATGATACAGAGATGTATCAAAAAAGGAAAATATTTGTAGTCGCGATACCGAGAATACGGAAGCATATGATACCAAGAAGCATATGATACAGACACATATCAATCAAGGAAGATATTTGAAGTTACGATACTGAGAATAAAGAAGCATATGATACCAAAAAGACTATGATACAGAGATATATCAATAAAGGAAGATATTTGTAGTCGCGATACCGGGAATGCAGAAGCATATGATACCAAGAAGCATATGATAAAGACACATCTCAATCAAGGAAGATATTTGAAGCCGCGATACTGAGAATAAAGAAGCATATGATACCAAAAAGCCTATGATACATAGATGTATCAAAAAAGGAAAATATTTGTAGTCGCGATACCGGGAATGCAGAAGCATATGATACCAAGAAGCATATGATAAAGACACATCTCAATCAAGGAAGATATTTGAAGCCGCGATACTGAGAATAAAGAAGCATATGATACCAAAAAGCCTATGATACATAGATGTATCAAAAAAGGAAAATATTTGTAGTCGCGATACCGGGAATGCAGAAGCATATGATACCAAGAAGCATATGATAAAGACACATCTCAATCAAGGAAGATATTTGAAGCCGCGATACTGAGAATAAAGAAGCATATGATACCAAAAAGCCTATGATACATAGATGTATCAAAAAAGGAAAATATTTGTAGTCGCGATACCGGGAATGCAGAAGCATATGATACCAAGAAGCATATGATAAAGACACATCTCAATCAAGGAAGATATTTGAAGCCGCGATACTGAGAATAAAGAAGCATATGATACCAAAAAGCCTATGATACATAGATGTATCAAAAAAGGAAAATATTTGTAGTCGCGATACCGGGAATGCAGAAGCATATGATACCAAGAAGCATATGATAAAGACACATCTCAATCAAGGAAGATATTTGAAGCCGCGATACTGAGAATAAAGAAGCATATGATACCAAAAAGCCTATGATACAGAGATGTATCAAAAAAGGAAAATATTTGTAGTCGCGATACCGAGAATACGGAAGCATATGATACCAAGAAGCATATGATACAGACACATATCAATCAAGGAAGATATTTGAAGTTACGATACTGAGAATAAAGAAGCATATGATACCAAAAAGACTATGATACAGAGATATATCAATAAAGGAAGATATTTGTAGTCGCGATACCGGGAATGCAGAAGCATATGATACCAAGAAGCATATGATAAAGACACATCTCAATCAAGGAAGATATTTGAAGTCGCGATACTGAGACAACAGAAGGAAGGAGGTGCATGTCAAAAAAATCGATTCCAACACAGCAATTCAAAATACTAGCTTTAGCAAAGGCCAAAAAAAGAAAGGCAAATAAAGCGCAAATTAGAAAAGCAAATGGGAAAATAGATAATATTTTACAAATATGTTTTTGCTTTTTCTGGTCGACAGATTCTATCAACAATTTGGGACGCAGGATTCTGGCCGTAAAGGAAGTACTATGTTCTGTGTCGCAGGTAGTACCCAAGAAAACGTACATTTAGTAGGAACGTAACAGAACATAAATCAAAGCATGCGCTCTTACAGCATGATTCTCTAATCAGCTAATTATTCTAATTTATGTAATGGTAAATTAATATGTGCATAAATCACAACATTGCAGGAAGATTTCAACTAAAAATTGCGCATAACGGCGGATTTCTACCCAGCCTGATGCCCACCAGCTCAAGTTGCATACATTCAGTGGGAGGGTTACTCAAGATTTGAAAAAATAAGCAAATACCTCATGTATTTCATAGTGTTACACATTTCTTCTACGCAGAGAAATTCTTCAAGACCAAAGAAAGTGCTACTGCATGCATTTTGGTAAATCTATAACAACAATTGTGCAGACGTTTAGGATCGGCATATGAACATGATATATAAAATAAATTTTAAGAATTCTTCGCTCTAAGCCTTGACGACTTGACCACTTCAAAATAAATTTCCTAACATTTTCTCTGTCTAACTTCACCACCCCCCCCCCCCCCCTCCCCCCTCCTTACCTTCAGAAAATATTAGCTAGGACGAAGCTTTTGACGCACATATCTAATTCTTTCTCAATAATTAATTGTCAAAAGATATAGCAAGATATATGTCCCTGTGTATAATATTTGATGCCATAATTATAAACACCATTTGAACCATTGTCAAATTTATCGTCTTGAAAAATAATAAGTAACACTTAGGGATGTACCGGATATCCGGTAGGCCGGATAATCCGGCGCCGGATCGTTGATTTTTTGAAAATCCGGGTCCGGCCGGATTTGTTTCCGAAATCCGGCCAGTTGCCGGATTTTCCAGAACTTTAATCATAACTAAGAAAATTTGGAAAACCAAGTCAGACTCCCTTCATACAGTGATTAAAAATGGATTTTCCAGAACTAAACAATATCGACGATAAAACAAGCGCCTTGAAAACAGATTTGAAATGAAAGTGCTCGTCATCACGAAACAGGAAGACTGGATGATATAATTCACAGATTTGGTCCAGGGTTGCCAGATCGGCTTTTTAGGCCAAATTTTTCATTTTTGGTTTTTAGGTTTAGATTGCCTGGAAAAATTGTTTTTTGCTTACTACTTGAATTTGACCTTGTTTGCCTTTTCAGCAGACGTCCAAAATTAATAAGTAATTACTACATTCATAGAATAATTAGTAGTTAACTACAAAGTGTTAACCAAATTTCAAATTTTATCACCTAACCTAAATATTATCTTGATATTAGCAAAGGGTTTTGGAAAAAAGTAAGATTCTTATCAAAGTTAAGAAATTATCTAACAGGCACAAGCGTAGAAATATAACCAGTGCCTGCTCGATGGATTCTTGAGAGTTTTTGATTTGGCCTTTTTATGAGCATTTTGGCTTAAATTGCTCACCAGTCTAGCCTTCGTTTGTAAATTCAATCTGGCAACCCTCAATAGGTCTCTTTGATCTTCTCGCTATACATTTTTTCGCAAAGTGGCTCAAAACTTTTTATTACTGAAAATTCTATAAATGGTCAGATTATCCGGTAGAATCCGGCCGGATATTCCACGAAGAAATCCGGTAAATCCGGTTCCGGCCGGATTCTGAAAATCCTGATCCGGTACACCCCTAGAACACTGAGAAAAGCTAAAATATGCTTCAGAAGTAGAAAGCATTGAAACATATAGTAAGAAATTTAGTTATCATGGAGTTTTACTTTGAAAGACAAGGGACCACATAAAATTGAGATTCTCACCATTTTCAAATATTCAACTTGGTACTTGGAGAGCTCAGGAGGAAAGCTTTTCATGAGTTCAAATAGTGACAAGTGTCTAAAAATAGGAAAATACAATCAAAGTCTTTATCAAGGGGTTGCAATCAAATAACACGCACAAGAAGCAAACGAAATCGTTTAATCAAACCAAATATAGGATACACCATCAAAAAGGGCATTGCCTGTGTTTTTGACAGTTTGGAAGGCGGAGCCGTGTGCCATTCTCACCATTACAATAGATTTCAACCATATATTGCATCATTGTCAAGTCTTTCGCCAATTTCAATTTAGCTGTTAATGCTATTAAGAAACATATGATTTTGTTAAAAAACTCGTTTTTTGTGAAACTTCTTGGGGGCCCTTAGACAGCGTTTACACGGGGCCAGCCATCTTGGGACATTACTTCGAGCGTGGGAATTTTGTTCATCAAATAGATTTTTATTCAACAGACTGCTTAGGCAGTTTAACAATAATTGCACAAAACATCAATTTTGATTACATTTACGTAATTTTGTTAAATGAATAAAATGGTAAGTAAAAACGAAGTAAACGAAAAGATAGCGCCCAGTGAGGGACTCGAACCCGCGACCCTCAGGTTAAAAGCCTGATGCTCTACCGACTGAGCTAACTGGGCTGCTGTATGAAGCGGTCGGAAAGATGATTATTCCCATCAAACCAGTGTCGCTCCTCCATGGTTCCAGACACGAGTGCGTTATCGTGTAATTTTATATGACAGTGAGGATAGAGTAGACGACACAATCTTTGATGTAATTGAATACTTAGATACTTATTTATCTATACATGTATACATAGTGGACAACATTTCATATGTCAAAACCATGTCTAATTTTATGGAAAATATGGATTTATACTCTTTTTTTATAAGAACCAGTAAATTTCGGTTCAGGCTGACTGTTCTTAATTTTTTCGAAAATCTGAGGCTGGATTGTTCTTAATTTGTTCTTAAATTAAGAGGGTGTAAGCAGTGCTTTTGCTAGCTTTTTCGATCTAATGAGGTGTTCAGGCCTTATTTGCCAACAAAGGGAGTGAGACAGCCTTAATTTGCTGACAAATTTGAATATTCACCGAAAAAGCACCCACACATCGCTAAAAATCCTCGATTTTGAGAAAAAACGTTGTTCAAAATTGCATTTTGCAGAAGCTCAGCCTCAGCTTGTTCTCACTTTGTTCTTAACTTTTGACCAGTTTTGAGGCTCGTGTTGATTGTTCTTATAAAAGATTGTTCTTATAAAAAAAAGAGTGTAGTTGTTGCCTGCAGTATGGTTACCTTGAGTACAAATTTATCTAGGATGTATGCGGTAAAGCAACATAATTAAACAACCAAAAATCGAAACTATTCTACTAACGAATATAAACATGAACCAGATAATTTTTTCCGAGGATTCATGTTCTTATTTTTTGGATAATTTGAGGATCAAGTACTCTTAATATTGTTTTTGTTTCAACAATGATTTCTCTACAACTACATCATTTAAACTTTTATAAGTCCAATAAATAATAGATTTTTTTAATGACATAATATAATAGTTCATTTCCTGATATACACTCCAGTTGGACATACACTCATTTTGTAAAAGAAATTTTTTTATAAGAACACGAACCTCAAAGTTGGTCAAAAGTTGAAAACAAATTAAGGACAAGTTGAGGCTGAGCCATGTAAAATGTGAATCTGAAAATGTCTCGAAACTCCCTAAAAAATTCATCTCAATAACGAAAAGTTTTATGCCATCAAGAGGTGTTTTTCCGTGAATTTTCAAACTTATCGGCAAATAAAGGATGTCTTATCGAATTTGCTAGCAAATGAGGCATGAAAAATCTTCTAGCGCACACTAGCTAGCGATTGCACTGCTCACCCCAAAATAATTTTAGAACAAATTAAGAGCAATCCAGCCTCGAATTTGCGAACAAATCGAAAACAGCCAGCCTTAAATCTAATTTACTGGTCCTTATAGAAGATATCATGATTTGTGACGGAGAGCCACAGCGATTCCAAATGAATCTACTGTTACTTGATAATGATAAAAAAGAGTGTATTCTAAAGTTGTTCCTTTTACTTGGTAAATGGAGCCTCAGCGTTCTTACAAAGTGTTTTCTTAGATAAAAAAAAGTTAACTGTACAATATTTTATTTTAGGTTATCTTATTATTATCTTATACAAGTAACCTCCACACTTACCCATCGCCGTCGATATCCAGTTTACGAAATGCCGCCTTCTTTTCTTCAAACAGCACTTTTTGGTATTTTTTCATCTTTTGAAGAGGAAACTAATGAAAAACGAAGGAAATTTCAGATTTTAATGCAGTCAACACTGAAGTGGAGTTTGGCTGCTAGGGAAAAAAGATTTTTACCATTTTTTCTGTTGATTTTCTACGAAATTTCGAATTTAAATGCTAATGAGATAACAGATCGTTGTGATAATGAACTAAACAATCAATATACCTCTTACATTACATGTAGGTATCAAGAAATGTTTTTTAATCACAATACTTTTGCTTCATCAACATGTTCCATGAACATCTACAATACCTGCCAAAAGTATTTGGAACAGCGAGCAATGGTCGCAGTATTTCTAAACTTGTTTCCCTAAACTATGACTAATCCTCTCCCCCTTCCAACTTCCCTGAAATAGGTGTTAAAAGTACAGGCTAGTATCATACAAGTCACAAGAAGAAACATACTTCCTAATTTTTCACGTCATGCTATTTAAACAAAACGTCCTGTCAGTGTCTGGTTTATAGACATCCAAGAATGATTAAGAAATTGTCAATCATTTTCTACGTAATGAAATTTAAAAAGCCCTATTATGGATACAGGCGTATGTTGGCAAGCAAAATATATCTTTGGATGGCAGGCAGACCTTTGCTAATACATTGACAAAATAGCAAATGATACTCCTTGGCTTTATGCTCCCACAACTAAAGCAGTTATTAAGCTGCTGTCATAATGAACAAAAGTCCTGTTGCAAATTATCTTTCTAGTAATAATGCTTTATCTATCAAACAGACACGAAAGTAAAACCTAAATAACTTTGATTATAAAGAAAAGAATGAAATTCTGAAGAAGTTCATTGAAGTTGACAGCAATCTATTAAGAGTTAATGAGTAGAAAGCGAACAGTCCTCTGTGTCTAGACACAAACATATTTTACTATAGATAATAGAATAAATCAGGAGATTAAGTTAATATACAAAATTGGAATAAATACAATCAATGGAAACAATTTCTTATCTAATTATTGATAAGTTTATTACTTATTTCTTACTTTTGTTTCATTAAAAGGTCGACAACTAATTTCATAGTCTCTCTATTTAAGGTGATCGTCCTCCGAGAAAAAAAGATCCCTATCAACACGTGTCTACAGAGATGGAGACTCAATTTTTTTTAATTATTCAGTTATAATTTTCGAGATTGTACTCGTGTTATCTGCCTAAACATCAGAGTCGAGGTTATAAAGAAAAAATCGCGCAATTTCTTCTGGCAATTTCCTCATTCAATGTATAAGAAACAGAAGATACATGAAACGACAAATTTGTCACTAAAGGCAAGTAAGATACCGATATATCACAAAAGATAACAAAAAAAATCATATTTAAAGGATTCCAAAGACAATCCAAAGACCAAACAAAAAGTTTAAGGTATCACATAAAATTTCAAGACGTTTTATTTTTAATCTCTTCGAATTAAAAATTCATTAGCAATATGAGAATCTTGGCGAAATTAAGGAGTGGCATCTTCAGATATACCAAGATGTTGATTCAATTTTTGATTTATTTGTATATACAAGAAATAATAAAAAACTGTTTTGAAAAAAGACAATATTTCAACACATATTTTCGTCTGACACTCTACAGAATATAAAATGTCTGAATAATGACCGAAAATAGCACGCTATGAAATATATGTACAAAGTTGTTGATCGAAATAGGCCAATAAGTATACTTTGGATACATTGCATTAAAGAATATTGCGACTTACTTCAAGTACTCTTGGGCTGCATACTCTCGCAGACTCGATTTCCATTGAAAAATCTTCCAACGGCGTTTTATCAATAGAAGGAAGAGACGAGATAGCAGACTTTGACAAGTGTTCTTCTGATTTCGTTTCCTCTTTCACGACTTCAGGTAGCTGCTACCAAGAAAAGAAACAGCAATAATCCTCTCATAAAAGAAAATAAATAGTGTTAGCAGATTTTATAAAAAAGAAACTTGACGTGCATAGATCATAGAGCGATAGATGTGCATAGAGCGAAAACTAATTTGACAACCATTTTAAAGTGGCTACACGTTTTTAGGACTGTAAAGCTGTGAACTGGTTTGGATTTTAAACTAATGTACAATACCTTGTTTATTCGCATAAACCCTGTTATTTTGCTTGGTTCAAAAACGAACAAATAGTATGAAATTGCTCCCCTAAACATGTCTCACTTGGAAGTTTTAAATAGACATTCACAGCTTAAATGAATTTGAGACGAAAATACTTCATGCTAGTCACTGTGCTTTGCTTACTCAAGTTCAGGAAAATATTGCTAAATTTTAAAAAAAGTTAGAAGGTCAATCTTGATGGCAATTGCTGCATTATGGTAGAGCAACGTTCCTGCATTTGATAGTAGATAGATTACGCAAGTTATACGATGTTTTGATACTCGTGAGAGATATACATAATCAATGTGTGAGGATGGCTCAGTAGATAACGTGGCGGACTACAGATCAAAGGGTCTATACTCGAGTCCATAACATGATCAAGCTTATACATAGTATGAAAAGACTCGAAAGCTCTCTGTTAATCGAAGCATGTGTTCACAAGGTGTGATAAATACGAGGAGAAAGACCAGCACGTCGAGTATCTCCACGATTGAGTAAGGCAGTCTGTTTCCAAGATTCATCTGAAAAGAGGGTTTTCCTCTGCTATTTCAGAGTCCGACATTAGTTCTTGTGGGTGAACATGACAAAAAATGCCTAATTTTTCTATCATCTAAACCGACTTAGATGCCAAAAAAAATTCACAACAGCTCGCTCAGGCAAAGTATACTATGGCGTTTCTTCATTCTGATCGGTTAATTGTGCATTAAACCAACAATGCATGAACATCGTGGTCATGATTCTGAGGACAGTTGGGGACAAACTGCCTTTAAAGTATAGTAAAAGGGTATTTTCTGGTTAAGAAAAGAAATGAGTGTCACAATTATTCATAAGCGGTTTCAATGTCGTTAGATATTATGACGGGCCTAAAACTTTAACTTTGGAACACAGGAAGTAGAAATTAAAATTCCAATGGTAGGACAGCTTTAAAGTCAAATCAAGGATATTAAATATTAAAAATTAAGCAAATTATAAACAAATGTAACAACAAACAAGTATGAAATTATGAATTACGAAAGGTGCAGTGTAATAGACATGTGACTTAATCAGGTGTCAGGGCAGTGATAGTGAGACCTGGGAGTGTGAGTGAGAGAGATTTTGTAGAGCAAGGGAACAATTGTATAACAGTGATAATAGATTACTGTTGTTGTGTTCCTTACCTGGTTATATCTAATAGTAGTTAGAAACTGTATAAAAAACAGTATAAAAGAAACGAAAGCAACTGTTTATGAACTGCAATCCTGGCCAAAGGTTTTTGAACTGGCTGGCAAATTTGAGTCTTTTTGAAAAAATACGCTCAACTAACCTTATGGCCAGGATTGTGGGTGTTTAAGCTGGTAAACGTGAAACCTTCCTGCGTTGAGATTGGATGAAAGTTTTGAAAAATCATGTTGATTATTTGTATGTAATATCATTAAATCAAAGTAAAATGATAAATAAAGATGACCAAAAGCTTTACCTCGTTATCATCGACTAACGTCATTTGATCGATCTTCTCACAATCAGCCATTGATTCAGTATCACATAAACTGGGAAGTTGCTCGCTTTTTATCGGTGTTTTAACTCTGTTTTGTTTGATTTTCTTCAAAGGAGGGGCATTTTTCCTTTTTGTAAACAATGCTGTTTTTTCTTGATTAGCGTTAACTTTCGAGTTAGTTTCTCTGAGACTAGTTCTTTTCTTTGCAACGGGTTTCCCACCACTGACAAGAAACTCTTTTGTCAAATTCTTGCTACCTTCTTTATCACTTGACCGTGTTATTAGTAAACTCTTTTTCTGGTGCCTGCTTTTCAAAGCATAACGAGCAGTTGTTTTCCCAGGATTTTTCGCGATTGCTATTGCTGGAAATTCTTCTGCTTTGACAGTATTAACTTTAACTTCTCTCAAATCCACATCCGTTCTCTGCTCTGTTTCACTGCAAGTTTTCACCTCTTCCACCCCTATATTTAACTTACAGGGTGAGCTGATCGTTGGCAGAGTTTTGTGCATTGCTTCTGATCTTGAAGATTTGTGACTTAAACAGCAACTATTGTTGATATCACTATTAGCTGCTGATTGTACGTTGACGTTTTCTAATGCCTGCACTGCTGTTGTGTCAATACTTGGAATTATTTCTGGGAATACAGCTTTCTTTTCCTGTGATTCGACTGTTGTTTTGGAAGAACCTCTCTTTCGGCGCTCTTTTCTTTGTGGTTTCTAAAACCATCATGAACAAAATTAACACCATGATAAAAGCTTGCAAGTAATTAATTACCGAAACAAACCAGGTTATTCACAGAAAGATGATACAAATTTCATTCCTGAATATTAAATTGTGCAGCATTTGACAAAATGATACCCATAAAAGAGAAAGAGATGCTATAAGGTGTCTGCTGGATATTATAATCTTGTGGAAATGTTGTGACAGCAATAGCGTTAAATGATAAGCCCTTTAAATCCGATGAAGCCCTGTATGCAGAGGACAAACAATAGCTAGCTCCTAACACATGGTTTAATTTGTGTTTTTTAAACTGAAATTCATTTACGTTGGGTTACTTCTAGTTGTTACTATCAATATTTATCCACAATCATGCACTTTCTTTTGTATATAAGATTATGTCCATATAAAACTACAGAACCTAAACATTTAATTTGGAAAAACAATAGCCTTTATAGGTACATGATTGCCTGCTCATGGATATACTAACAACTAAAATAAAATGATTCAGTGTTTGAGTAACTCAAATGTGCCTTAAAGCTAAGTTATTATATATCAATAACTTTGACATGAAAATGATAGGAAATAAAATAAATGTACAGCTACAAGACAAAGAGATTAAAAAATCAAAGAGCTAGGTATATAACATAATTCGAATGTCTAGAAGAGTTAAACATTTTTCTGGATGTTTTTTTATTTAATTAATATTTTCAACTCGGCATGTCCTTACCAAATCTGGTATTTCAATAATGTCAAGATCACCATCTGATCCATAATTGATATCAAGAAACAATGAAGGCTCTTTTGCAAGCTCTGTATGCTCCCTCTTGTCATTTGGATTCCAAAGCGAACTTGAGTTTGGACTTTTTTTAACTTTCTCTTCTAAAAATGTTGATGCTCTTTCTTCAACACAAAATTTGGGTCTTTCAGCAACACTGTGAAAACAGAGAATATTAAAGAAAGAATGCTGGCAACTATTTTAACTTAGCTAAGAGGAAAAGAGATCTTACAAAAGGCAGAGAAAAAAATTATCAAATAAAAATACTGCTAATGTTCTGACTTTAGTGTGAAAGCTTTGAATCTGATTGCCTATAACATAGAAAAGGACTAAACAGCTCTGACATTATTCCTTATTGAAACACTGTAGGCTTAATATTGTAATTTTCTTTATTGAAAAATACAGAAATTTTCAGAATTGTGATTTTATTTCATTATAATCATTAACAATCATTGTATTTTCAACATTTAAAACCTAATATTGTAGAGAAGAATAGCCATGCAAATGGCATGATCCATTTGTCATAGCTACTGTACTTTGAAATGAATACTTCTTGGAAATACGTTTAAAGCAGTAATGGCAATATACCTACAGTATAGTTTGCAATTTGCAAAGACTTAAAGTGACTTTTTGCATTATTGGTGAATATTGGTCAAAAACAATTTTTATGTTGACATTAAATGATGATATTCCAAATACCTAGGCAAACTGTGAGCTTCTTTTTCATCTTTTCTTGGAATCTAAACAAATGGGAATGGTACTGATGAAAATCATTGAATCTTGTAAGCACAATTTATCAAGTCCTTTTTTAGTAAAAAAATGAACGAAAATATTTGAATACAACTTGATTGATTAATAGTTGTAGATAATCAATTGAATAATTGGCATACAGGAACATACAATCCCTAAAAAACACAAGAATGTATAAAATATTACACTTCTTTTGTGTATAATTACATCTTTCAGTACTCAAATCTGAATAAAGATAATAAATAATAATATATTATTTTATTCAATGAGGTTAAATTGATCAGCAACAAACACTGCTTTACATGAAT